GTCCGAAGAGAGGGCGAGGACACGATGGTCCTTAAATCCGGCAACCTGCTCTATTTCCGGGAGGGCGAAGATCTGTCCCAGGGTGGTGTCGGGTTTGTTGTCCACAAGTCTCTCGTGAACAATGTTGTACAGATCGGTAGTGTGTCGAATAGGGTGGCGTACCTTATACTCAGAATCACCAAACGGTATTCGTTGAAGGTCATACAGGTATAAGCTCCGACCTCGACGAACCCCGACGAGGAAGTGGAAGTCATGTATGAGGATATTTCTCGGGCAATGCATGCTTCCAGGACCCATTACACCGTTGTCATGGGGGACTTCAACGCAAGGCTGGGCAAACGTGGCGATGATGAGTTGAAAGTGGGGCAATTTGGAGTTGGAATCCGGAACTTCCGAGGTCAAATGCTAGCCGATTACATGGAGAAGGAGGGACTCTTTATGATGAACTCCTTCTTCAGAAAACGGCTGCATCGAAAATGGACCTGGAAAAGTCCGGATGGCGTGACAAAAAATGAGATTGACTTCATCATGTCGACTAAGACTCGGATATTCAATGATGTCTCAGTGATCAATTCGTTCAATACGGGAAGCGATCACCGAATGGTAAGAGGCACATTGAATCTAAATGTCAAAGCAGAGAGGAATCGACTGATGAAGTCCACGCTCCATCCTGAAGCCATCCAGATCCAAAACCCCGAGCGCTTTCAACTCGAACTGCAAAATCGCTTCGATTGCCTAGAGAGCTGCGTAGACGTGGACAATTATAATGACAGGTTTGTTGAAGCTGTCCTTACGGTGGGCTCGAAGTTCTGCAAGCCCATCCGTACCAAAAAACGTAGCAAGATCTCGGAGCCGACTCTCAAGCTCATGGAGAAAAGGCGTGAGATGGGTCTGCAGTCCTCTGAAGATGCACGTCGGCAGCTCAATAGGCAGATTTCGAAGTCTCTGACTCGCGACATACGCCGCTTTAATACTGATCGTATTAAAGAGGCCATCGAGCGGAACAAAATCTCGAAATTGTTCGCAAGAAATCTGTCTCTTGGACAGAGTTTGCTGACGAAGCTGAAGACGGCTGAATCATTTCGTCGCAACCTGAGCTTATGGCTGAGATCGAAAGCTTCTACGGACAGCTATACGTGACATCACGAGTACCTGTCACAAAGGCGACCGACCCAAGAGCCAAATTAACCCGACACTACACCGAAGATATTCCGGACGTCAGCCTGTACGAGATTAGTGTAGCTCTGAAACAGCTCAAAATATATCACCAATCACTGATATACGTGAGGGCCAATTATTGTACCTCATTGGCGGCATTGGCCACAATGATTAATTACCACCGCCGTCAGTGGTCGCCCACCTCGCTGCCCAATTAGCTACCTGCCCAACTGCCTAGCTAGTCGCCTAGCTAGCTATTAAGCTAGCTGCGTAGCTAGTTGCCTAGCTCGCAGCCTAGTTAGTTGCCTAGCTAGCTGTCTAGAATGTTGCCTAGATAGCAGCCTAGCTAGTTGCCTAGCTGGTTGCCTACCTGGTTGCCTAGCTGGTTGCCTAACTTGTTATCTATCTGGTTGTCTAGGTGGTTGCCTAGCAGGTTGCCTAGCAGGTTGCCTAGCTGGTTGCCTAGCTGGTTGCCTAGCTGGTTGCCTAACTTGTTATCTATCTGGTTGTCTAGCTGGTTGCCTAGCAGGTTGCCTAGCTGGTTGCCTAGCTGGTTGCCTAGCTGGTTGCCTAGCTGGTATTCTAGCTGGTTGCCTAGCTGGTTGCCTAGCTGGATGCCTAGCTGGTTGTCTAGCTGGTTGCCTAGCTAGTTGACTACTACGTTAACCGAATACTACCCATAACTTTGCGAATGGCAATTTGTGATGGGCAAATTTATAACTATCCTCGCGCGTAGCTCAACACGAACTTGGCCATTTTATACTATTTATTAGCTGTGAAAGATATTTACGGTCGTATATGATCGAAACCCTTTCGAATGTCAATAATGGCTGTTCTTCTCCTGCGTGAACATTCATTTGAAAAACGTAAATAGTCTGTTTGACATTGACTGATGATCGGACCGCGCTCTAGAGAGATTTGTGGCAGCCACCGTAGCTATTGAAATCTCGCCTTTGCATTCATCATTTCCTCCCTGGATTTTTCTCGCCATGAATGGCGAACTAGACAATATGATTGAACACGCAAAAAGATATTTTTAAAGTCTCTTTTTTATTTTACAAAGTGATTTTATCTATCAATTTAGGGTTCTGTACCTTAAGGACGACAATGGAACTTTATAAACTGACCCTCAGCTATCCCCGTTCGTCTCATCATCTGACAATGAGTTGTGTTTCACACTAACCGTAATAAATGCTTGTTTTCAATTATCACAGAATGTATGAAATATAGTTTGGACTTGCATTACAATAAACTGTCCGTGAAAAATGTAGGTATTACATTGATGATAAGAACTGCATAAATATGTATTCAGTAATTTGAGTTCATCGCGAAATAGGTAACTACACTAGAGGTGCCCTGCAATTTTATCCGCAGCAATTAGGAAAAAGGTTATAGTGAGGCACCCTTAAAAGATAGACTTATGCTGTCGCGGTCTTTTTTACAGAACTTTTAAAGGGAAACAATTCTATCATACATAACTTTTACTTTTTTCAAATCGGACTAGTAGTTCCTGAGATTAGCTAGGTAGTTCAACCAAACAAACAAACTCTTCAGCTTTATAATATATAAGTATAGATAGATACAAACAAACGGAGACACAGTGTGGCGGGGCATTTCGTTTTATACCTATATAGTGACAGTAGTTACAGCTAGAAAATAAAGATTCCTTTGTCTACCATGCAATCATGACAAACTAAAAAATGTCACGCTGACGCCATGGTATTAAATCAATTGCTTATAGACACGACATTTCGCACAAACTGTATAACGTTGACCGATTAACTACACTTTATCGAATGTAGTAAGAGCATATAGTCTCTTATGATAAGCTAGGGTACCCGCGACTACGTCTGCGAGTAAAAATTGGTATCCCATATAAACTTCCATACCCCTTTTTACCCCTTAAAGTTTTTTTTTATGCTTATTTGGCATGGCGTTTGACCACAATCTCGCCTGATGGAAAGCGATGATTAGGCCTAGGATGGTACACGCCTGCCTAGAAGAGGCCTGTTCACTCTGGCCTTGAAGATGTCCAGATTATATTGGTCCGGGAAAACAGAGCTCGACAAGGAGTTCCACTCCCTAGCCGTTCGCATAATGAAAGCGGAAGTAAATCGCTTCGTGCGAATGGACTTATAGGATTTCTAGGATAAAAACTGTCCTATGTCCTTCACCGGGATTCAAACTATTTCTGTACCAAACATCTAAATCGGTTCGGTGAAGAGGGAGCAGACAGACTGATACACTTTTGCATTATAATTTTACAGTATGGAGAATGGATTAATATGTTTATCATCGCGAGAAATTTAAGTACTCACTTCGCTATTTACGTTTACTTTTTTGTTCTTATTTTTCATATAGCTATCCTAATACATTTACCTGTCAAGTTTTGTTTTTCATTAAAGTACAGGTGTCACGTATTGTAATGCTAATATAAAATAACAATACTTTTAGGTGTTTTGTGTTTTTCTCGGTAAGTAAGTTTCCAGGATTCCACTTACATTAAACGATTTTATTGACTCATGAGAGCGTTTTTGTTCTTTGCTATTGAGAGTCATTGTGTTGATTATAGACTATGGCTTTTGAGCAATTAACTGATATTATTGTTATAGCGTTAAAATATAGAAAGGACAAAAAAAAATCACTATAAAATTAATAATAAAAAAAAACAATATTAATACTCCAGAAAAACTTAAAACATGACCTGCCTCGCACCTCTTGTATAAACAGTCAAATTAAAAAGTAACTCTAGTTAACACTTTTAAAACAAAATCACAATACAATAATCATAACGTGACAACTGAGCTGAGTTCCTCAAACATTCTTTTCATGACTTTATTGACAGACTGTACCTTTATTTATATACGAGTATTTGTGGTCAAATAACACTGCGACTAACCAACCTCTTTTGTAAAGTTTTAATTTTATTACTATGTTTTTTTCTGCGCAGATTCGAAAATTTCGGAATTAGATGCAACAACGCGCTACCAGCTTAGATTAAAACAAAAAAGGAAGATACGGCACTCCGGCTCAAAAGTAATCGTTAAGCGGATCACTTTTGAGCCGCGAGTGTCGTATTAAAAAATATTCCATAATATTCTGTTATAAAGATAAAACAATGCCTTCGGTGCTTTTATAAAGAAGACAAATAGTTCAAAATCAAATGCCTCTTCAACACTTTTCATTCGTAAAACTGTAAAAATATTTGATAATATTTGAAAATATTTCACGGTTTATCGTGAATGTTATTTACGTAATCGCCGTTTTGTTATCAAGAAATGGACAACAATACAGCTCAGCCGTGCGGACTCGGACGCGGACTCGCCGTTTCGCTCGCGCTGCGTTGAAGCGTACAGTTCTGCCTCGCTCGCTCGATTGAATATTTATTTACAGACGTGTGCATGTGTGATAGTTGCTTATGTAGTTGATACAGAGCATATTTTATTTGAGGCTAGTATGAGCGTACTATATCTTCCCTTTTTGTTTTAATCTAAGGCTACCAGACAATCTCTCTAATCTGTGTACCAGACGCGACCGACCGACACTCCGATTCCCACTACTGCGAAAAATATTATTAATTTTTGTTGGCATGTATCATAGATAGGTATGAAGCACTTTTTATTGTATAGTTTTTGTCAGTTTTTATAAAATTCTGTGTTTTTGAGTACGCTTTATTATTTCACCGCGTACATACACTGTATAATGGTGTATCTATACAACAATATACAGCTGTACTGCTGGGCTCTAGCCCAAACCAATAACAAATATTCTGTCCCATATTACCTGCGTACTTGCTATCTTATTCGTTGTGGTTGTTCTGTCTATATAATTATCGTGTCTATGGCAGGTCGATGCTAAATATAGATCAACCGCCGCGCGTGGAGGTTCAACACGAGACAAGGGCAGAGTTTCCTAAGGTGAGAGCGCATTTTCCTTATCAATTTTCAACAAACACTTAAGAAATAAAACATACCTGTGTTGTGTGCCTGTAAGCTTAATTTTGAAAGAGAACAATTTTTTTCTTTCACCCAAGACCAAATTGATTTAGACTCGTTATCCTATTAATATTATACCTTCAAAATATTTACCTAACTCGCATGTCTTTTTTTTAATCCATTTCGATTAAAAAAAATACATACAAGCTTTAACTTTACAATAAAATATAACGCTTTTGGGATTCGCACACATTTTTTTAACCAGTAAATTATTAATGATATTATTTAGTATACTCTATGGATCTTATTAACATAGATGACAAAATTACAGAGTTTACCGCCGCATATTGGAATCGGCACTCCCGAAGATACTCTGCAGTCCTGTTTTGGATTACTACCCAAACCTCCGCACAAGGACGTGATCAAATATAACCTGAATGCTAATAAGGTAATTTCTGATTTCTATTTATTTATGAATCTTTCTGCTTGCTAATTTTCAAAATAGGTATACCTATCCCGACTTCGAACGGTTAAAATTTACTACTTAGCGTGAGTTGCACCAACTTACTTTAATTTTAAATGTTCAGTTAAAGTACCGGTTAGGTAAAAAATGGGTTGTATTTGACGATAGTCAAAATCAGGTCATAATTTGACAGTGACAATGACTATAATTTTTATTATTTTTAAAGCATGTAACTGCTTGATGTTGATAGTGACAATGACTGTTCAAGCGAGGCCAGTAAAAGTTAAAGCAAAAGGACACGATTCAAATTTGTATGGAGAATGATAGTGAGTCATGTCCCAATTTTTATGAGAAGTAGTGCATTGTAAATCGTTTGACAAAAAACTAGAATTTATTTTATCCCCGTTTTTATTAAATAACTTATTATTATAATATAAAATTATATAATTATTGATTGGCAAATGGCAAGTTTATATACCTATTTTTGTTGCCAAAGCATCAAATATATTTTATTCAATAGGTCACTAAAGCAGTGATAATTATTTTATATATTTTTCATTACATTATTAGGTATTAAGTGGGTATTTTATTTCATGAAGTATCAATCTAAAATTGATAACTTCAACTTTACCAAGAATTTACATATATCATGCATAACTGGACTGATTGAAAGCCATAGTGATTGATTTGACGTTATAATCTAACACACACTAAAAATATGATATTACTATGACAAGGTGGCCAGCATACCTACTTACCAAATTGTTTTAAAGTATCTGTTCATGTTATAATATTAAACAAGCTCTTAAATGATATATGTTTCGTCGCTGCCGGAAACCGACTACCACTTTTAAACCATCTGCTTTAACTTTAACTAGCTCTGAGGTGCAACTCCCACTAAGTGTGTAAAAATATGTACAAAGAATAATTTACAATTTTATCAAAAAAATATATAAATTCATGTTAAATATACATGCCAATAATTGGTACTTTATTTTTCATTCTATCAAATAGCATATTGACTTCTCCAAGTGCGCCCGTTATAAAGTCAAGGTGCAATAATTGAAAGGGGCGAGCAAAACTTTGCCACCTAACAATTTACCCCTCGGTATCTCACTTCTCGGGTTGTTGTAGGAGTCAATTAAAGTTGCAGCAGACGCAGACATCGTAACGAGACACCCTCCCTCTCTGCCCCTTATCTCAGAGCCAGATCGCAGCAAATACTCTACACACTAGAATTCCTCTTGAAATATTTAAACATTCAACTTTGCACAGAGCTCGGATTTGTTGGCACATTCTGAAAAGTTTCTTTTGTCGGGCCAGCCAGTGAGAGTTAAGTTTTGAATGTGCAATTCGGTTTTGATATTATTCCGTCTGCATTCGTAGTCGCTCTCAATTGTGCGCGTTCCTACCCACTTAAATAAAATTATGACGTAGCTGAATTTCAGATATCAAATTTAAATCTCGGGTGCCTTTATTAAAACTATCATTCAAGTTGCGATTTTTCATTGAGAAAAGTTAGTAGTTTATTTTATTATGATAACGCTATATTTTTATCCCAGCATAGCGATTCGTATTTTTTGCTAGTGATTTTGGCAGCAGTATATCTTTATCATGCTTTATCCTACGTCCTACTAATATTATAAATGTGAAAGTTTGTAACTTTGAGTAGGAATACTAAACGGATTTGGATGAAATTTGGTACGCATACCTATAGTTTATGTCCTGGATTGAGACATAGGATACTTTTTATCCCAGAAAAAAGTTAAGTTTCTATGGAATTCTTTGACGACCTCTGTGGTCGAGTGGTTTGTACGCCGGGTTTCATGGTGTCGCAGACTCGAGAGGTCCCGGGTTCGAATCCCGGCGGGGGCAGATGTTTGTGTGATGAATACGAGCATTTGTACTCCAGTCATGGATGTTTAATATGTATTTCTATATAAATATACCAATATATGTATAATAACCGTTACCCTGGTATCCCATAACACGCCTTACAGTGCTTACTTTGGGGCTAGGCTAATTGATGCGAGTGTTGGAAATATTTATTTATTAACAGACGAACGGACGGATACACATCACAGTGCATCCGTCCGTCCGTCATAAAAAGATATCAGTCCATGTCCATTGAACGGAGCATTCTGAATCTAAAATGAAGACACAAAAAGAGAAGCACAGACATGAGAGAAACAACAATGTTGTTTGATGCTCTAGAACACCGCAAAAAACTGAAATGGAAGTGGGTTGACCATATTGCACGGATGAAAGAGGACATGTGGACCAAAAAGATAATGTCATGGAAGAGACCTGTTGGTAAGATAAACAGAGGCAGACCGGCGGAGAGATGGTTCGATGAAATTATAAAAGCAGCGGGTAAATGTTGGATAGATATAGCGAATGATAGAACTATGTGGAGGAAAATGGAGGAAACCTTCACTCTATAGAGAGGTCCTAAAAAAATTAAAAAACTTTAGTATTACACTTCTTCTTTTAGTTATTGCATTAGCAAAATGATATTACTGATATTTTCTCTAGGTATTATTACTGATGTTTCCCCTATCTACCCTGTTCAGGATATGGCGATAAGATGTGTGTGCGTTTGTGAATGATATATTTGACCGTTAGAGTTTAAACCTTTTCTCTCTCCTTCCTTCACAGTACCTTCGTTACCTCTGCGAGTTGGACTGGATCCACCCAGAGGACCAGGGTCGCAAGTTCGTGCTGTCGTACAGCCTCGCCGATGGCACCGTCAAGATCGGCGAGATCCCGCGCCGCAACTCTGGCATCCGAGAGGGGAAGTTCCTCAAGCCGATGAAGTTACAAACCCCAGACTCAGATCCCAACTTTCCTACTTACTTTACGCCTGACAAATTCTACATTGGTGAGTAATTTTGTCTACAAAATCAAATTGATATTTGCTTTGGCAAGCAAAATACACAATTTTCTGCTGTCTCACCTTGGTGGACGAGAAATAAGTACTGCCCTAGCCTGCTTCCAAATAGTAACACTTCCTATTTCATATTACTTCCTTTTCCATTCCATTCTAAGAGAGGTTGGAGATCCGTACCTAAATGAGCTTTTCCCATGAGTGGTGAGCGCATACTTCATTCAAAATAATTCCTTGATACCACGTGAGACACAGGCGGCTGCATGGGAATACGCAGGCAATGATTGCAATCACACTTCATCTGGTGAGGTGGTGGAGAGAATTCACCGCTCCTTACATAATGAAAGAACATTTTGAAACAATGGAGATAAATAAACTTGGACAAAGTTTTATTTCACAATCATTCTTAATGAAAATCCGGTTCTATCTATTTTATTTTACTACATATTATATACTTTAACGGTTGCAGTAAAATACTACTGAAACAAAAAAAACTGCAGTACAAATTCTAATGAGACTATCATATTAGAAAGAGAACATCTTAGAAAAATGTAGTACCTGCCTCGCCCATCGACATCACCCTTTTGAATGTTTCCAGGTGCCATTGTGCCCGTATTTAAACATCGTTTCAAGATTATAGGATGTGACTTATATGTGTACCGGTATATGAGCGCCAACCCAGAGAAGTTCCCACAAGAGGTGATCGACAACGTTCGAAACTACCACATGCGCGAGGGAAACCTTAAGGACGAATTGAGAGTAAGAAATTTTTAAACTTAATGAATGAATGGATTGTGTGCCGGTTTCAATAGCTGCTTGGAGCTAAACTTGTAATAAGTTACTTGTCGAAAACAAATATAAATAGTAATAGACCGACTAATTACCGGCTTTTATGAACAGCATAAGCTTTTCTACCAGCGAAATTATGGAATCAATTAATTGCTAAGCTGGCAAAAATTGATTCCATAATTTCGCTAGTCCTACAGGGAATGTAATGAAATCTATATTACTGCTCATTTCAGGAAGCCGTCCGCGAAGAACAAGCAGCTGAGACACGCGCACAGTTGGCCAAGATTGGTCAAGCGGCAGTGGCGGAGCCTGACGCGATGGAGCGGTGCCTAGCCGCGCTCGACGTGGTCGGAGGCAGCGCCTCCCCGCCGCGACCTGCCACGCCTCCCCTCACCACGGACAGGATCTCATACGACGACTCCTTGCGTATTGCCAGACTTAGGTAATCAACGAAGTTATTGTAATGAAGAGCTCATAGATAAGACACGCGCACATCTGGCCAAGATGTGCGAAGCGGCAGTGGCGGAGCCTCACGCGACCCTGCCATGCCCCTCCTCACAACGGACAGGATATCCTACGACGACTTTGCGTGTAGATAGACTTAGGTAACCTTCAAAGTTATTGTAATGAAGAGCTAGCTGAGAGATTTGTACATCTGACTAGCATTGCTCTTGGTCACACCATAACTTGGGAACGATTTTATCGCTTTCATCCATCTTTTTTTGGGTTTCTGATATTTGCTTTGTATGGTTTTTGTCAATTAAAATATTCGTTATTTTAGCGGGCAAGACAACGTCTGTCGTGTCCACTAGTACTACATAAATTATACCCAGTCGCACCTTATAAAAAAAGAAAAAAGTCCATAAATCATTGCTCTGGCCGATAGTGACGAGCATTTTTTTCACTACGATTACCTACATAATATTATAGAATGTACTCTTGTAATATGGACCATATATTGCTTGTTTTTATGCATTAACGGACGCACTCAGCGAAGCCGAATAAATTTAATGATATTTAAAGTCTTATGCTTAATATGTATTATTCTTTTGCGATCACAAAGAAAGCGGTAGAACTGACTATAATCGAACTTACAAGTTATTTAACGTACCTGAGTGTGGTCGTTAAAGAATTTCTATAGCAGAAAAATACTGTTTCCGATCGGCTATTTTTTTCCTTACTTTAAGGTAACAAAATTAAGGATGCGTTCTTGTTGTTGTTATTGCCACTCTTTAACCATAGACAAAAATCTAACGCGCAACTCGTATCATCCTGTAAGGATTAGATAGATTAGATAGATAGCGTTAGATTTACGAGTTTACTCCAATGCGTAAACTTTATAATGTCCAAGAAGTTTCACTTTAAAAGTACAATGCAGAGTGCGTTTCAAACCGGATATGAAGTTAGCGCAAATCACTGTGCAATTAATGGAAAATGTAGGATGATGTACATGTGCTTGGGATGTCATCGAACTGAACCTGCACGTAGTTGCGTTCGCTGCTAACTTCACAACTGCCACGAAGTTTGAATCGCACTATAACATAACGAGCAAACCTTTTCAAATTAAAAAGTTCGCGCTGGGCGCACATGTACGGTTTTCTGAGTCGGTTTCCTGAGTCGGTTTCCTGATCAGGAATTCAGATTCGGCTTTCCGTGAGCCTACCGTAGACGTTTCGGTTTTTTTCCATCCTAAAAAAGTAAGAATAGTGTGCGCCTCGTTGAACATTATATATGTAAGGACGTGCATTCAGGTTTCCGAATCTGACTTCCTGATTAGGAAACCGTACGTACATGTCCGCCCACTCTAAGATCGTCTTCTGTCCACAGTAAGCCAACGTGCGAAAACGTGACGCCGCTCAAGGGCATACTCAAATCTGGTGCGGCGAAAGACGACCACCAAAAAGTGGTGTGCTTTAGTGGACCTGCCGCAGATGAACACCGGGACAGACCAAAACCACCTTCATACCCACCCGGGCAACAACCCCACTACAACGACGATGAAGATTTCTGCGATAGGTTCAAAGAGGCGGTTAGTAATAAAGACGATTAAAAAGCTTCGCGTAGAACATGGAATACGTGTTATTAGACGACAACGAGACCGTAGCGCGGGCGCCGTCATATCCGCGCCGGCAGCAACCCCATGCAACGACGATGAAGATTTCTGCGACTGAATACAAGGACACGGTTAGTAATAAGGACGACTAAAAAGCTTGTTATAGTACCTAACGAACATGGAATACGTATTATTAGACAACCTTATCGCGGCCGCCGTCATACCCGCCCCGGCAGCAACCCCACTACGACGATGAACACTTACAGATACAAAAGGGCGGTCAGCAATAAGGACGATTAAAATGTTTCTAAACTTTGTAGTAAAATGCCCCAACTTGTCCCACAGCTGCTCCAACTGTGGGTAAAGCCATGGCCATCATATTCGGTGCACTCACTTCAGCTGCCATCTGTACAATATTGAATTTATGCTATTAGATATATATTTATAGTATATTTTATACCACTACCACGGTAATATTATCTATACAGTATTGTGACTCCGCCCTGTCCTTGAAAATAAATGCCTACAGCCACAGCGGTGACACTGTGTACGTGAGAGTTCCAGCGTCAGTGACCTTGAGCAGGAGCGTGTATGCGCTAGGGTTGAACTTGGAATTCAGACTTGTGCCAATGAATATTTATGCATAGTAAGTTATTAAATGTAAACTGATTCAAGGATACTGGGGTAAATAATGAAGGATAGGTTTGATTTTATAATCAATTTTTAATCTTTTAATGTAGGTACTATATAACAAATTGCTAACTTTTATATATTTTCTCCTTTTTCGATTCGTTTTATAATTCTTATTATTATCTAAATAATAATAAGATTGCGTAGCGTAGTCAGTCTGTGCGTGCAATGCAGTACAACGCTATTATTTTACTATTTCGCTACTGCCATCCCTTCGGTCGAGGCAGTCGGCGACTGCCCTCTCCACGCCCCGCGCGCCGCGCAACGCCCCCGCACACCTCCAGACACCCACACATAGCCACGGGCGATTTTACGAGCACACATGCTTAAGTGTCGCTTCTTTTCGCGTACCTAGTGTATATATTCTGTGCTACAGCCGAGTGCTGGGTTAGCACGCGGTAAGGCCGCCCGCCTACAGTATTTTAATTAGTTTTGTTTTAACGCGAGTGTAGGTAGATTACTCGATTGTCTCTTTTTTCATCCTAACCACTTATTTATATATTATTCCAGATATTTTGCCCGATGGAAAAACCGAAATACCTACATATTAGAAACAAATTACGTACTAGTAGATAGGTATATAAAAAATATTCTATAAAGGTAAGACACCTTTCCAATATTTCAGGTAATTTAAAAAATGATATCTCTAGGTGTCTTATTGAAGAATTCAAGCAACCAAAAACAGCAATTGTGCTGTTGTACGATATTGATCGTCGTTTGTTCTTTTCCATACTAAATTATGTAGGTATCTACTTAATTAAATCAAATATTGTTAATGTTTTTTTTGGGCGGTAGGTGTAAAACAAGTCATTACTTCTCTAAAAATTATTTATTAAAATATTTGGTAAAATCAGTTTTTTTCTGGTAAACTGTGTGTTTAATTACATCTTGGCATCTAATTAAGCAACATATATTGTGGATAGCATCTATTGATGTGTGTTTGATTTGAAAACTGCACCAACCTGCCATCTTCTACTATCGCTGCTTAAGAGAACACTATTAATCACATACACTGTCCATTATGAGTACGGTTTCAGCAGTAATGGAGACGCAGAAATCTATAGAAGCAACCTTGCTTGCTAGAATGAATGACTTTGAAGCACAGCTGAAGTCTGCATCGCCAACCAGTGACGGCAAGGAGGGGATTACTCAACTGCAGAGAGATTTTACTGCATTCAAGGAACAGGTGTGGAGCATTCTGTCACTATTGAGACAACAAATATCTCAGCTTCTCGGAACAGTTGACGACATTGTAATGAGACATCGCAGAAAATTTCTCATGATAGGTGGCATTCCGGAAAATGAGGATGAGGATTTAGCATCTGTCATTGCTACATTATTACAGAAACACCTCGGTCTCACTGAAATATCTGCTTCTTCCATTAAAGCTTGCTTCAGACTGGGATATGTATCAAATAGGCGTGCAAGGCCTGTCGTATTCCGTTTTGTGGATTTGGATGTTCGTGCTGCGGTTTGGAAGTACAAGACTAAACTTAAAGGCACTTCCTTGGTCGTTTCGGAATACTTAACAAGAAGTCGCCAAGCTCTGTTTCAGGCCTCACGGGAACATTTTGGAGTAACAAAAGTGTGGACTGCAGGGGGTAACATCTACTTGAAAACCCCTGATGGGAGTCGTCATCAAGTGCGCACACTCGAGGAACTTCGATTATTAGCCGATCGCCATCCAAAGACCACTAGCGACCCCAAGTCATCTGCTGAGCCGGATAAAGATACCAAGGAAAGCACAAACATCACATCAAAGCTTGAGCTTGATCCGAGAGCAGCTCCTGTGAGGTCCAGACGCATGGTTCAAGCAACAAATAAGCCTGGTAAGGTAGCTAAAACCACCAAATAGCTTTCTTGCTTTTCTGTTTCCCTTTTGTTGTTTTGTACTTGCAAATAGATTTGGTAGTGCATTGGACTCTGCTATGCCTTTGTAACAGCAATTTTCTAAATAATAATGGGGACATCGCAACTTTTATGTAGATATAAGTTGCTGCTGTTGTTATTTTGCTGCTTATTTTCGTAATTCTGCTTGTTGTGCTTGGTATGATATTAGAATGGTTTTTACTGCGAAGGTATTTGTAAACTCATAGCTATTAATGTAAACAAACAAGAAGTCGTATTTGTCAATGTCAAGACGTTGTGACATTTTTAGTTTTGTTTTAATTTTCTTGAAATTGGAAGGCATGAGCTCCTCATTTCATACAGCCAAGTTTATACTTTTTTTATTCATAGACTTAGTATGTAATATGTATAATTAATGTTTCGTTTCATTTTCATAATAATTTTGCAGCAATGTTTATGTACCTATTTTTATTGTTTGTTCATTTACAAGGCAAGACATGTGCCTTCCTGTTTCTGTGTTTGTATTGTTGCTCAATGTTTTTTTTTCTCTCGTGATTTTGTTGTTAATAATTATTATTCTGCTTAAGCTTTTGTAATCTCATACTAGTTGCTTGGTAAGGTGTGCAGTTTTTATTATTGGTTATTCAATTTATTTATTTTTGTTATTAGGTAATATTTTGTACTTTATATTATTTATTATATATATTTAAGTATTTATGTCAGACACAGATGATTTTCATTCGCTGCATGATAGTAGCTCGTCGTTTCACTCCCTTGACTCCTCGTTAGATCTCTCATTGAAACAGGAGCTCACACGTGAAATTAACAGTTTTGCCAGTTGTTTCAGAGCATGTCACATTAATGCACAGAGCATACCATGTCATATTACTGACTTTCTCGATGCTTTCTCTACGGATACAGTGCACGCCGTGCTTGTATCTGAAACCTGGTTGAAGCCATGTTTGAACTCCTCCTTGTACTGTCCACCAGGTTTTCACTTATTCCGTAATGATCGCGTCGGTAAGGGTGGTGGTGGTGTGGCTATTTACTTGTCGAGCCGCATACCAGCGAAAGTTTTATATTCTTCTTCCTCTCGTCATGACTGCATGGAGCATCTGCTCCTGGAAGTTGATATTTGGGGTACTAAGATTATTCTCGGAGTCGTATACTGCCCTCCTTCCATTGATTACTTCTCTGACCTTGAGTCGTTAATTGATTCCATTGCTACTGATTATAGTCACCATGTTATTATGGGTGACTTCAATACTGACCTTTTAATAAATTCACCTTCTTCTCGAAAGCTTCGCTCTTTGATTACGTCGGCAAACTTTTCTTTTTTACACCTTAATCCTTCACATCATAATCTTAATACATCCGATTCGTGGATTGATCACATTATTGTCTCCTCCTCAGATCATGTCGTTAAATATGGTCAAATCCCTGCCCCATGCTTCTCCAGACATGATCTCATTTATATTGCTTATAATGTGAAGCCTCCAAAATCGAATCCAAAAACTATTTCCATTCGTAACTTTGCGAGAATGGACACGGAAGAACTTAAGCGTGATGCGTGTTTACTTGATTGGTCTCCTATTCATGAAATGCTTTCGGTCAACGACATGGTCACCTACTTTAACTCTAAGGTCCTAAAATTATTTGACAAGCATGCTCCTTTAAAAAAGGTCAAATTAAGACGTCCCCCCGCGCCCTGGATTACACCTGGTGTGCGTATGGCCATGCGAAAGCGCGACAGAGCATTTCGCATTTACAAAAGATGCCGTACTGATACGCACTGGGATGCTTTTAAGACTGCCAGAAATCGTTGCAATCAGATGGTAAGAAAAGCTAAACGCCATTACATTCATAAGAATATCCTGGAATCTTCTCCTGCGGATACCTGGAAGTTTCTACGTACTCTCGGCATTGGAAAATCACAACTTCGTCATAAGCCTTCTTTTCCGTTAGATGAGCTAAATAAACACTTCACTTCTATTAAACCTGTTCTTCCCAATGTCAAACTCTCCACTATCTCTGTTCTTTCTTCCAAGGTTCCCTCAACAACTTCACAATTCTGTTTTAGTTTCATAACTGAGGATGAAATCCGAAAGATAATTCTATCCATAAAATCTAACGCTGTAGGCTGCGATAATATAAGTCGTACTATGATCATCTCAATACTAGATTCTGTACTTCCTGTTCTGGCTCATATTTTTAATTTTTCACTAACATCTGGTTCCTTTCCTGATCTCTGGCATAAGGCCTTAACTCTGCCACTACCTAAAAATAATAGTCCCGTTTCCCTTAGTCAATATAGGCCTATTTCTATTCTTCCATTTTTATCTAAGATCATTGAAGCAGCAGTTCACAAACAACTCACTTCATACATTAATACTAATAAACTTCTTTGTCCTTTTCAATCTGGTTTTCGTCCCGGCCAT